GTTGTCCGTATGCGTGCATGTGTGTGTGTATGGAATGGTATGAGGGCATGGGATAATATATATTTCATGCTTATAATTGTGTGTGAATGTTGAGTCATGTTGTCGAGTGTGTGTGTCGGGTCAATAGCGAGTTATCACTAGACGCGTGTTACGCGGTCGTTTGTGTCTCGCGCGCGGTTTTTATTTTATCGTGCGTGGTTTCTATTTGTCCTGTGTCGAACGTTCGGCGTGTCGCAGGTGTGTGCAGAAGACCCATCAAGAACTCAAAGATGAGTTTGTGATGAAAAGCCCGAGCCTTGGTGTCAAGCCTCAAGTGATTTCGAAGCTCGCCAAAAGGGTGCACCTCAAGATATTGAAGATAGTTACATTACTTTGTGTAGTGTAACATTTCACTTGGTGTAGGCCCTAGTGAAGGGTAGTTTCGAGACCCTTCGTGGTTGGGGACAGTGTGACACTGTTCCACTTCACTATACCTCGGCTCTTGGGGTTTGTAGGAGCTGGGAGTCATTCCCAACTCGTAACTCTTCCTAAACCCTAAACCCTAAACTCTTTCTATCTTGTGTTCTAAGACTATGTTGCTGTCATACTGCCGTTCGTTCAAACTGACGCTGTGTCGTCAGTTCTTAATGAAAGCGTGCGATTTAAATTGCCTTGTAGGCGACGTTAAGACGCTCCAGATCCAAGTTGAATGAAGTCATTTGGAGTTGTGAGCAGATCGCTATGAACGTTTGAAGCCGCTGTGCAGAAATCCGACTGTGCACTCTATCTTTCGTTTTAGGCACATTGGAGCCTACTGTGACTATAACACTCACCCTCCTACGCACGGGGCCTCATTGCGCATGCTCACCCTCCTATGCGCGGGGCCTCATTGCGCATGCTCACCCTCCTATGCGCGGGGTTGTGAAGAGCGAGTCCACCTCCAGCCCGGCCATCTTGAGCCATGCCACGGGCTCCAGGTTGCCTGTCACCTGCCCACGTGCGTGAAGCAAACGGAACACAATTTTCATCTTCTTAACACCAGTTACTGGCCGCCAAAAGGTGTTCTCCAGCCCGGCCATCTTGAGCCATGCTATGCACTCCAGGTTGCGTGTCACCAGCCACGTGCGTCGAAAAAGCACTGCATCATTCATCTCCGAAAAGCACTGCATCATTCATCTCCGAAAAGCATTGCATCATTCATCTCCGAAAAGCACTGCATCATTCATCTCCAAAAAGCACTGCATCATTCATCTCCGAAAAGCACTGCATCATTCATCTCCGAAAAGCACTGCATCATTCATCTCCGAAAAGCACTGCATCGTTCATCTCCCAAAAGCAATGCATCATTCATCTCCGAAAAGCACTGCATCATTCATCTCCGAAACAAAAGTTTCTGAACGGCACTCACACCTGTCCTGCTGAGCCGCACTCTCACCAATTCCCACCACCGCACTCGACCGCACTCTCACCAATCCCACCACCGCACTCAACCGCACTCTCACCAGTCCCACCACCACACGGGGTTGCATGCGGGAGAGCTCCTCCAATAGCGCACGGACACCTGGCAGCAGCGCAATGCCGTCCGCTGCATCCCCCGCGTGCTCTTGGCAGTATTGCAGCATGGCGGCACACAGCACCGGCAGCTGGGGCTCGCTGATCTGCGGGTGATAGGGAGGGAGGATTGAGGGGACACACAGGGCGCATGGTAAGATGAAAGGAGTGCGAGACAGGCACACAGAGAACAGAGTGCCGTCAGCTGCATTCCCCCACGTGCTGCTGGCAGTACTGCAGCATGGCTTCACATAACGCTAGCAGCTGTGGCTCGCTGATTTGCACATCACGAGCAGATTGCTCACATTAGTAACCACGAGGGGCCCACAGGGCACACGGGACAGACGGGGCACACAGGACAGACGGGGCACTCGGGACAGACGGGGCACACTCCATGCCGTGCTGCACAGGGAACAGCGTAATGCCGTGCCGCATAGGGTACAGCGTAATGCCGTGCCGCACAGGGAACAGCGTAATGCCGTGCCGCACAGGGAAAAGCGTAATGCCGTGCCGCACAGGGAACAGCGTAATGCCGTGCCGCACAGGGAACAGCGTAATGCCGTGCCGCACAGGGAACAGTGTAATGCCGTGCCGCACAGGGAACAGCGTAATGCCGTCCGCTTCATGGCTTCACACAGCACTGGCAGCTGTGGCTCGCTGCACATCAACAACCATGAGCGACACACGAGGCACATCAACAACCATGAGCGACACACGAGGCACATCAACAACCATGAGCGACACACGAGGCACATCAACAACCATGAGCGACACACGAGGCACATCAACAACCATGAGCGACACACGAGGCACATCAACAACCATGAGCGACACACGAGGCACATCAACAACCATGAGCGACACACGAGGCACATCAACAACCATGAGCGACACACGAGGCACATCAACAACCATGAGCGACACACGAGGCACATCAACAACCATGAGCGACACACGAGGCACATCAACAACCATGAGCGACACACGAGGCACATCAACAACCATGAGCGACACACGAGGCACATCAACAACCATGAGCGACACACGAGGCACGGCAACAACCATGAGCGACACACGAGGCACATCAACAACCATGAGCGACACACGAGGCACATCAACAACCATGAGCGACACACGAGGCACATCAACAACCATGAGCGACACACGAGGCACAGCAACAACCATGAGCGACACACGAGGCACATCAACAACCATGAGTGACACACGAGGCACATCAACAACCATGAGCGACACACGAGGCACATCAACAACCATGAGCGACACACGAGGCACATCAACAACCATGAGCGACACACGAGGCACATCAACAACCATGAGCGACACACGAGGCACATCAACAACCATGAGCGACACACGAGGCACATCAACAACCATGAGCGACACACGAGGCACAGCCTAAGCACTGCACCACAGAGAACAGACCACCGTCCGCTGCATTGCACTCCCCGCATGAGCTCTTGACAGTACTGCAGCATGGCCGCGCATAACGCTGGCAGCTGGGGGTCGCCAATCCGCAGGTGGCAGGGGAGGGGGGCAAGAACGCAGCATGTGCCGACAAACTCTGAGCCGTGGACTCTCATTAGGCTTTCTTCCTCGACCCTCTCTCCCACTCCCCTCTCCCTCTCCTTCCCCTCCTCCCCCATCCCCCCCTTGCACCCCTCTCCCTCCCCGTCCCCCTTGCAATATGCCGCACGCATGTGGCGCACTCACGTGGCGCACTCACGTGTCTAGGAATGCCGTAGAACTCGAGAGTGTTAATCAGCACTGCCTGGTCTGTGCTGCCGTGGTGCTGACGGGGGAGCGCATGTGGGGTTGGGTGGGGGTATGAGGGGAAGGGGGGGGAGGGGACAGGGAGGGGGAAAGGAAAGATTGGAAGAAAGGAAAACTTGTGCTGAAGGGGGAAGGGGAGATTGCGGGAAGTGGAGAGCGGGGACGGGGAGAGTAGGGAATGGAGTGGGGGACGGGGAAAGTGGCGAAAGGGGGGAGCGGGGGACATGGAGGGCGGGGGACGGGAGAGTGCGGAGCGGGGAGAGTGGTGGAAGGGGAAAGTGGGCGACGGGGAAATTGGGTAACGGAATTGCGTCGACGATGCTTTGGATCGCGTCGGACCGTACCTGAATCGCGTCTATGGTGCCCTCAATGCCAAACACCTTCTTCATCGCATGCGCGAACGCGCGCTTATGGAGCTTATTGGACTCAGAGCCGACGGAGTGGACCAGCGTGCCGTCCACGTCGAACGTGATCAGCACCCGCCAATCAGCGGCTTCTGCCACGTCAGCCGTCTGCGCCACGTCAGCGCTCATGGTTGTCTGATTGCGGAAGCGCGGAAAGCGGCGAATGAGCAAGCGACCGCGAGGTGGATTGAACTGTGAGGCGGCGGAATTCGCGAAACGGGATCCGCAGGAATTTTGCGCGAGCGGAGCAGTACGACCGATGGGAATGGCAGAGCGGGCGATCGGGAAATGATTGGGAAGCGACAGGCCGACCGGATCGAAACGCATTGAGGCTGTCGCAGTGGCGCCCCGGCTACGACGTTGGTTACTGAAAGAATAAGAATGTCGGTGCGGGGTCGACTGGTATGGGATAGTGGGACCGCTTCAAGTGGAGCACAGATCTCACCAAAACGGTTAGCAGGGTCAAAAGGTAAGTGTAGCTATCAGGGCAATGTCTAAGGTGAAATCAAGGCTCCACAGAGGGATGTGGTTCGCGAAAACTTTCGTTGAGCTGCGGGCCGGTTACTGTAGTTTCATGAACACAACACTAATGGGGCAGGGGGGAGAGAGAGGGTGTGGGGGTGGGTGGGGGTGGGTAAAGGTGGGGAAAAATGTCAGTCGGTCCAGCCGAGAGCGAGACGTTTTCCGTTTCTATCCCCGTTCCGGTTTCCGTTTGCAGACGGAGTCACACTCCCACACTCCCCCATTCCTCACATCCCTATGACCATCCATCCAACCTCACACACCCATCATCCCTCCTGCTCTTCTGTCGTGTCAACTGTCTGCCGAACGCGACTCCGTGACTCGCTCTCCTCGTCTGACAGGTAGCACTGTTCAAGGTGGCGCGCCGGATGTCTTATTCTCTCGACTCCGTACACTGCGACTCTTTTCCTCGAACTGTATCTGCTAAGTAGGCTCTGGAAGCAAGTTACGCGTTAGCATGATTGGCGGTATTTGCTGGTTCGCTGGAGCACCAGTTCCGAAATAAGCGGTGCGCAGAACGAGCATTCCCCGATGTACCGAAAGTTCCATGGCCGTAGGATAAGGTATTTCGGTCATACGGTTGTTCGCTCAGCAAGTCTCTAGGTCGCCGAAACTCTCGCATCTTGTGAGTAACAGACGGTGGCGAGACGGTGTTGGCGCCATAAGCTCTCGATACTCACTCGCGTGTGAATAAGCATTCGCCAGAAGAGCTACGGGATAGAGATTCTGTTCGCAGCAACTACCTCTACGAATATGTCGTACCCGGGCCGCCATAGCTCAGATCGAGGCGAATTGGCAGGCAGTCCGGCCGACGCGCACAGCAGCAGCTGGACCAATGACGCGGGATCCGCTCTGCTGCCACGGGTACGGACACGTGGCAGTCCGGCGCCGGCTGCAGCACCAGGCAAATCCTTATCCGCGAACGACCACGTGGCTGCACTCCCATCGTCCCCCGGAGCAGATCCCCCCTATCAAAGCACCGACGCCGCATACAAGAAAACGGATTCGAATGCTCCGCCGACTGATCTCCCCGCTAGGAATGGCGCTGACCTACCCACTCGCGCTCACACCATGAACGACGCTCTTACCTCCTCTGCTTCTGCTCTCCCTTCCTCAACACTATCCTCCTCTGCTCTCGCATCGTCCGCGATTCACGTGCATGCCGTCCAATCCGCGCCAGACAGCCTCCCCATGGAATCCGGAAAATCCGGGAAGCCACGTAGGCCCATTCCGGGGCAGATGACGCCTCTCGCGGCGCTCCTCGGATCGCCGCAAACCGCGGGGATCGCGCTCTCGGGTCCCGACGCGTCGCCTCCCCCCATGCTGCTCCCCTCCCCGCCCGTTTCCCCCGTCGGGAACAGCTGCGCGGGGGACGGGGAAGCCTCCGCGTTTCTCCCCGCCGACTCCGCCTCCGCGGCGGGCGGGGCGGGAAGAAGGGCTCCCCGGCGCGCGGGGTCGTGGCGAGTTTCTGAGAGCGCGGGGCGGGCGGAAGGGGTGGGCGGAAGCGGAGGGGACTCCCCCCACGGGGTGGCGGAAGGGGAAGCGGGGGAAGCGGGAGGGGCGGGGGAGGGGGGGTGCTTTTACGAGTCAGTGCGCGTGCCGCGTGACGTGGTGCGCGTGTGGCAGGACTGCTGGCGTGGCGCGTGGCAGGCTGACGTGGAGATCCGATCCGCCGTGGATGGCGGCCTGGTGCTGGCGCAGGGCGCCGTGCTGGTGAGTTAAATACCAAGTATGCTCCTTCCTGGCGAGGTGGTTAGTTAGCTTCTGCTGGTGAGACACTTTTTTTTAAGGCTTGTTGCAAGCGACCTACCCATCCCCCTTGCTCTCCTCCTTTTTTCTCCTTCTCTTCCCCCTTCCCTCTTCCCCGTCCCCCCCCTCCCACCCCACTCCAGGCGGCCCACTCTCAGGGTCTCGAGCGCATGCTAGCAGGAGCCATGCTGCAGCAGGCGCGCCCCCCGTGGGTGATCGTGCTGAAAGGAGTCCCTGTGGAGGCTATAAGAGGGGTCGTCCAGGCGCTCTACTGCGGCACGTGAGTCTGCTCTGTGCCTTGCCTTGTGTTCCTCCTCTTGGTCTTTATGTGGGGGAAAGGGAGCAGGCGTCAGTGGGTGTCAATGCTGAGGGGCCTCCGGTGGAGGTTGTCAGATCAGGGGATTGTTCAGGCGCCCACTCCCTCCCCATCCCCCTCCTCAAATTCCTCTGCCTTGAAGCCCTCTTTCCCGCCTCCTCTTGTTTGCCCCCCTCTTCTTGTTTGCCCCCTTTAACCCCCCTCTCCTCCCGACCAAACATTCCTCCTCCTGATTGCAATACCTACGCAATGCTCGTTTCTTATTCGTCCCATCTCCCCTCTCATTCCCCCCTTCAAGAACCAGAATGAACTGATGGATCGCCACATCTTGCACCTCCTCCTCCTCGCTCACTCCCTCCCCATCCCCTTCCTCAAGTCACTCTGCCTCGAGCCCCTTCGCTCCCGCCCTTGCTTGTTTCTCCTCCCACTCCCCATTCTTCCCACCCACCCCTCCTTCTCCCTCCTAAACAATCCTCCTGATCTGACAACCTCCACTGGGGGGCCCTGGTCCTTCAACCAACCATCATGGACTGTGCACTGATGGATCGCCACATCTTCCACTTGCTCCTCATATCCCCATGCACTCATGCTCTTTCCCCTCTCCTCTTCCTCCCCCTTTCCCTTTTTTTCTCCCTGTGATAAGCATGGCAGCATGGACGACGCACTCATGGATCGCCACATCTTCCATCTCCTCCTCCTCGCCCACTCCCTCCCCATCCCCCTCCTCAAGTCGCTCTGTCTCGAGGCCCTGCGCTCGCGCCCCTTCCTGATTACCCCCTGCTTGTTCCCTCCCCCCCCCCCCCAATGTGCACGCCACCCCAGCTCCCCTCCTCTTGATTAGTCGGTGTTACTCAATACTCGTTTCTTTCCTTTCTTCCACCACCCTTTCTCCCTGTCCGCCCCTCCTCTCTCCCCTGTAACAAACCAGCATGGACGACGCACTCATGGATCGGCACGTCTTCCATCTCCTCCTCCTCGCCCACTCCCTCCCCATCCCGCTCCTTAAATCCCTCTGCCTTGAAGCTCTCCGTTCCCGCCTCCTCTCCCCCACCAACGCCGTCGACACACTTGTCCTCGCGCGATTGGTCGGCTCGCGCGCGCTGCAGGCGCTGACTCAGCAGTACATCGTGCGGCACCACGCTGACGTGGCGCTGACGGACGCGTGGGCGATGCTGAGTCAGGAGTACCCGGATGTTAAACAGATGCTTGTGCAGATGGTCGAAGCGAGGAAGAGGGTGAGTGAATTACATAAGAGGTCGGGGGTGAGTGAGATGAGAGTGAGTGAGAATGAGTGAGTGAGTGAGTGAGTGAGGGAGTGAGTGAGTGAGGGAGGGAGTCTGCATGGTTGTCTGTCTGTCCCTTTTGACCCGCCTCTCTTCGCCTCTCCTACTCTGCCCATTCTCCGCTGCACAATTCTCCCATTGCTCACTGGGGTTTGCAGCGCACCCTTAGTGGTGCCTGGCAGGGCGCAGAGGCATGGGCACGGCAGCAGGTGTGGCAGCAGGCAGCGAGAGACTCACAGCGCAGTCCATCGTTGCCTCTGGGTGATTTTCGAGTCGACTCACAAGTCACCTCGTTACAATGGCACACGACATTTCTTTAGTCGACTCACAAGTCGACTCACAGCGCAGTCCATCGTTGCCTGTGGCTCGTTTCATCCCTTTCCTGTCGCCCGTTTCTCATTGCCCCTCCCATGGCAGCGCGACACTGGCTTGCACGGAGAGGAGGCGTGGGCGAGGCAGCAGGTGCAGCAGGCGGTGAGGGCATTGGAGCACATCTGCAACGACGGCAGCTGTGCCACCTCCGCCTCTGCTTCTGCCTCTGTCTCCTCTCCCCCTCCCGCTGCTCCTCCTTGTGCTGCTCCCGCCTCTGCTTCCTCCGCTGAGCCTTCCTCTGCGTCTGCTGTGGAGAGTGGGGGAGGGAGGGCTGGTACGGGGGTTGAGGGGGATGGGGCAGAGGAAGGGGGAGGAGGAAGGCGGATGGAAGGGGCGGAAGGGGAGGAAGCGAAGGGGCGGGAACCCGGTGGTGCTGCTACTGCTGCAGTTGGTGCTGCTACTGCTGCAGTTGGTGCTGCTACTGCTGCAGTTGGTGCTGCTACTGCTGCAGTTGGTGCTGCAGCAGATACGAGTTCCACAGACTCTCAGAATCAACCAGACGAAATCTTGCAGAGTCAAGGAGGTCAAAAGGGTCCAATTGGTCAACTAGGCCATTCGGGACCCAACACTCTCTCCCCTACTACCACCCTCGCACCTACCCTCTCCTCCCTCTCCTCCTCCTCCTCCCTCCTATCTGTCCGCCCCATGTCCCCCCCAACACCCGCCACCCCCGCCGTCCCCCCCACCCCCTGCGGACTCCCCAAGTGCCGCCCGGTCGAGGGGCTGATTCGGCACTTTGCTAAGTGCGGTGTGAAGGTGTCGGGGGGGTGTGGGAGCTGCAAGGTGGTGTGGCAGCTGCTGGAGCAGCACTCGAGTGCGTGTGAGAAGCACAAGGGATGCCGCGTGCCTCTGTGCAGGTACGAGACCTCTGTGCAGGTACGAGACCTCTGTGCAGGTACGAGACCTCTGTGCAGGTACGAGACCCGTGCCTTGCTCCTTTTCTTTGCACACTGGTTCCCCGCCGCCTGCTTCCACCTCCGTACGTGTCGCCCCGCATTGCTGTCTCTTCACATGCTCCTTTTTTCTCCTCAGACTCTTCTTGGGACCCTCGAGATATGAGACGACTTTTGAGGCACTCGAGAGCAGCATTGCTGTCTCTTACCGTGCCCCTCTTTCCTCCTGAAACGGTTTCCTTCCTGTGTTCCTCTCTGCTGCCACAGGCAATTTAAGAGCAAGCAACAGCAGGAGCAGGGCAGTGGGTTGCCTGCTGCAGGCAAGGAGAAGCTGAGTGCAGCAGAGCATGCAGAGCAAGTCACAGCACTGGCCAAGGCTCTCTTGGCCTTAGAGGATGCCAAGTCGTTTTAAGGCGAGAATTGGGCCAAGCAACCCTTGCTGCTTGCACGCGGGGAGAAGCTGAGTGCAGCAGAGCATGCAGAGCAAGTCACAGCACTGGCCAAGGCTCTCTTGGCCTTAGAGGATGCCAAGTCGTTTTAAGGCGAGAATTGGGCCAAGCAACCCTTGCTGCTTGCAGCACGCGGGGAGAAGCTGAGTGCAGCAGAGCACGCAGAGCAAGTTACAGCACTGGCCAAGGCCCTCCTGGCTCTAGAGAATGCCGAGTCGTTCTGAGGATGGCTGGTATTGGGCCAGAAATCCCGAGGAGAAGTTGAGCGCAGCAGATCATGCAGAGCAAGTGACTGAACTTAGCTCTAGAGAGTGCCAGGTCGTTTTAAAGCCCGCATGCAAAATAGTGACCCCCGTCCCAACTTGAATGAGTTGCAAGTGAGGATAAAACCAGTCTCAAAAACACTGTTTCAAACGATTTGTATGGGCAGAGTGAACTCATGTTATTGGCTCTCTCCACAATGGAACGTAATGGTTCCCGCCAAAATGAACTTCCTATCTCATTTCAGCCGTCGCATTTTTGCGTGCTGCATCCGCACGACAAACCCCAGGCGATGGTTTCCCATCGCAGGCCCAACCTCGTTTTCAAGCTGGTGGTGGGTGCATTACTACTGTAATACCCTGGATATAAGACCCGGGGGTATTATAAGAATCCCACCCCAAAAATGAGGGGGGGTCTTTACAGTTGGCTACTTTTTATAAGACCCGGGTCTTATCATAAGGTCAAGGATACCGTACTACTGTTTTGGAAGTCAAACATGTCAACACTATGTGCTTCGTTTTTAGCATTCGAAGGGAATACGCGCAATGGAATTTGTGTTTAGCATTCAGAATTAGTACACGAAATTGACATGATGATGCGTATACTATGTGCTTTTGTGACTGGCTGTACCCCTCTTTTATGAAAATTGGTGTGGAAAGGGGCAGAAAAGCTATCAGAATTGCATTCATTGCCAATAAATCGACCAATTCTCTAGGGGGAGGGGGGTCTTATAATGTTAGCCCCCATTTAGGGGGGTATAACAAAAACGACCTATTTAGCATACCCCCCTCCGAATTATAGACCCGGGGGTCTACAACTGGAGGGGGTCTTATATCCGGAGTATTACGGTAGATTTCTGTCACTCCATTCATCACTAGTTTCCGCATAGCATAGTAGGTAGTATAGCTGAAAGCACACGCGTTCGTGTCATAGCCACGTAATTACCGACGAGTGCGTCAATCGTCGACTTAGCAAGAGTGTAAACTGTAAGTTTACGTGTCCTGGTAGTGCAGTGCCTGATTCCCGTCTCGCGCAATCATCAGTTTGCTCATCACAGTAGGCCCCACCACGTCCCACAAGCGATCCTCCCCCCTATGCCATAGCCCTCATTATCTCCCTTCGTTGTCTGCCGCCTCGTTTATCTCCCCTCGCTGCTCGTCGCACTCGCCATTGCTAGTGGGGTCCGCCGTCGCCTCGCTCTCTAGTCCGTCCCGTCGCCTTTTCGTCGCCCTCGCAAACACACGCGTGACGGCCCTCCCGTCGTCGTCACGGTCTCCCCTCCCGGTCCGTTATTCTCCCGTTCACCCCTCTTGTCCCCTCGCCCTCGCGATTTCCCTCCGATCCCGTCGCCTTCCCGTTCTCCCGCCCCTCGCCTTCGATGTCCCCTCTTCCTTCCCGTCGCCTTCGATGTCCCCTCTTCCTTCCCGTCGCCCTCACTATCTCCCTTCTCTCACGTTGCCTTCGATGTCCCCCTTTTCTTTCCGTCGCCCTCGCGATATCCCTTCCCCCTCCCGTCGCCTGTCCGCTCTCCCTCCCGTCGCCTGTCCGCTCTCCCTCCCGTCGCCTTCGCGCTCTCCCTCCCGTCGCCTGTCCGCTCTCTCTCCCGTCGCCTGTCCGCTCCCCCCGCCCTCGCCTTCGCGCTCTCCTTCCCGTTGCCTGTCCGCCCTCCCTCCCTTCGCCTTCGCGCTCTCTCTCCCGTCGCCTGTCCGCTCCTCCTCCCCTTGCCTTCGTGCTCTCTCTCCCATCGCCTTCGTGCTCTCCCTCCCGTCGGCTTCGCGCCCTCCCTCCCGTCTCCTTCGCGCTCTCCCTCCCGTTGCCTGTTCGCCCTCCCTCCCTTCGCCTTCGCGCTCTCTCTCCCGTCGCCAGTCCGCTCTCCCTCCCATCGCCTTAGCGCTCTCCCTCCCATCGCCTTAGCGCTCTCCCTCCCGTCGCCTTTCTCCTCCCATCGGCATCGTGCTCACGTTCCTCCCTCCCGTCACCATCGCGCTCACATGCACCTGTCTTCGCATCGCCTTCGCGCTCATGGCCTCCCCTCCGGTCACGTCTCGCGACATAAGTTAAGCTAGCAAGCACGTCTCACGCTGTCGCTATCTCCCATCACGTTCCGCGCCGTCGCTATCTCCCTCCTTCACCCTGTCGCGCTCGCTGTTTCTCCCCCCTCTCCCCGTCGCGCTCACTGTCTCCCACACGATCTCATAGCGATCCCCCATTTGCACTCGCCTACACCATCTACTCCATTTTCCGTCGCCCGCAATCTCCCCCATTGTACAATAAATCGCCCTCGCTATACCCCCTCCCTTGCCGTTCTAATTCCCGTCCACCCCTCTCTCTCCTCTCGAGTCACCTTGTCGTTCTTCTATTTGCTACTTGCATCACTCTGTGTTGTTCGTTAGCTCAACATTGTGTGTATGCTGCGTGTGTTGTGGCAGGTTCCGTTGTGAAATTTGTGATGGCGGTGTTCGCCAGCACATTCGAAAATAGATGGCATTTTGGCGGCATCGGCATGGTGACCGCATCTAGAAACGGGGGCAGAACCCGCCCAAGAGGTCTGTGTCAAACATTATACATGTTATGCTTGTGTAGGCTACAGTGGGTTAGCCTATAGGGGGTACACAATTCTAGGGTTTACTACTTGTACTCATTTCACTTCTAGTTCATTCATTCCTGTTCGCTTATTCTCACATGGTATAGAGCGGGTCCTTCTACGGACCGTTTTTTTTGGGCCCACCGAAGCGCCCCCCGAGGCGCGATTTTTTTTTTAGCGACCCCTCGGGTCGTCATTTCCCCTGCGGCCCCGCCGCCTTCACTGACGCGGCCCCGCCGCCCTCTCTGACGGGGCCCCGCCGCCGGCCCTTACGCGGCCCCGTCGCCGGCTCTCACGCGGCCCCGCAGCCGGCTCTATCGCGGCCCCGCCCCGGCCTTTACGCGGCCCCGCCGCCTGCTCTCACGCGGCCCCGCCCCGGCTCCTTCGCGGCCCCGCCGCCTGCTCTCGCGCGGCCCCGCCCCGGCTTCTACGCGGCCCCGCCCCGGCTTTCACGCGGCCCCGCCGACGGCTTTGTCGCGGCCCCGCCCAGGCCCTTACGCGGCCCCGCCGCCTGCTCTCACGCGGCCCCGCCCCGGCTCCTTCGCGGCCCCGCCGCCTGCTCTCGCGCGGCCCCACCCCGGCTTCTACGCGGCCCCGCCCCGGCTTTCACGCGGCCCCGCCGACGGCTCTTTCGCGGCCCCGCCCAGGCCCTTAAGCGGCCCGGTCGCCTCCTGACGGCCCCGCCGTCCCTTCGTGACGGCCCCGCCGTCCCTTCCTGACGGCCCCGCCGTCCCCTCCTGACGGCTCCTGCCGTCCCCTTCTACCGGCCCCGCAACTGCACCTGCTGGCCCCGCCACTGCACCTACCGGCCCCCACCACCCCCCCCCCCTTTTCCCGTCGCCCGTCGCGGCTCCTTCGGGGGCCGCAAGCGGCCCCCTCAGGTCGCCTGTCGAGGCGACGGGAGAGGCCAGCAGAGGGGTGGCAGGTGTGTGGCCTCCCCTGCTTCTCCTCCTCCTTCATCTCCCACTGCAGCAGCCGAGCCGCTCACCTGCAGCAGCCGAGCCGCCCCACCGCCGAGCCGCCCTGCACCCGAGCCGCCCAGCAGCCGAGCCGCCCTGCCGCCGAGCCGCCGGGTCGCTGAGCTGCTGAGCTGCAGTTGCTGCCGAGCCGCCCTGCCGCCGAGCCGCCGAGTCACCGAGCTGCTGAGCTGCAGTTGCTGCCGAGCCGCCTTGCCGCCGAGCCGCCCGAGTCGCCCGAGCCACCGAGCCGCCGAGCTGCCGAGCCGCTGAGTCGCCGAGCCTACTCTTCCCACCACTGGTGAGCTCTTGCCCTGCTAGCACGCTGCGCGTCGCCTGCTTGCCTGCCTGCCTGCCTTTTGGCTTGCCTGGCTGCCTGCCTTCCTGCTGCTAGTCCTGCTCCTGCTTCTACTTGCGGAGCCAGATGCAGCCCCAGCGACGCCTGCGTGAGTCCCTCACGCCCGAGCAGCTGCGTGAGTGGTACGCTGGTTGGGGCTGTAGGGGTGGCGACGCTACTCCTACTACCACTCCTGCTGCTTCTACTCGTGGTGGCGGCCAGATGCAGCTCCCGCGACCCTCTCGCGTGTCTCTCACGCCTCGCCAGCTTCGTGAGTGGTACGCTCAGAGTGAAGGGTCTCTCAGTGCTGTTCGCTGCTCTTACGTGATTCGCACTGGTACTCGGACTGGTCAGCCTTGTGGGACACATAGTCATACACAGTCCCGCTGCTTCGCCCGTCTGAGCGACGCCTGGCGTACCGTGTTTGGCGACGAGGCTGAGCTTCCCGACTGGGTGGAGTTGCTTAGGCAGAGGGTAGATATATATGCTCTTGACTATGATGCTATTCTCACTGCCATGTATGCATTGCCTACTAGTGCTGACCGTGCCGGTCACCTGTGCGTCCCGCCTGACCCAGGTATAGGACCTGCTGCTCTAGCTACTGGTGAGGCTGCTGCTCTGGGTGCTAGTGAGTCTCCTGCTCCAGGTACAGGTGCGGCTGCTGCTCTAGGTGCTAGTGAGTCTGCTTCCTCAGGTGCGGGTGAGGCTGCGCTCTCAGGTACCGCGTTGGCTTCGGCCTCCCTCACCTTTACACTTGACTCTGGGGCTTCTCGCTCCTTCTTTCGGGACCGCACCACACTCACGCCGCTTGGTCGGCCGGTTGCTGTCTCCCTGGCTGACCCCTCTGGGGGTCCTGTCCTCGCTCACTTCTCCACTGTCCTCCCGTGTCCGGCTGCCCCCTCGGGCACCCTGTCTGGCCTGTACCTCCCCTCGTTCTCGACGAACTTGGTGAGTGGTGCAGACCTACAGGATGCGGGGGTTCACCAGTTCACTCCTGCGAGTCAGCGGGTGACCCACTGCACGGACGCACGCACAGGCCGGCACCTGGCCACGTTCTCGCGTCGGCCGGGGTCGAGCCTCTACACCCTGACCACTGAGTCTCCTCCTGTCCCCGCGTCCGGTCAGGTAGCAGCGTCGGGTCAGGTGTTTGCTGCTGCGTCCAGGTCTGGTCCTGAGTCTGCCCCCTGTTCGTGTCGCCTCCTGTCTCACGAGACTCTTCTGTGGCACCACCGTCTAGGCCACCCCTCCTTGCCCCGTCTTCGGGGCATGGCTTCCCGTGTCCTTGTCTCTGGACTTCCCCAGTCTCTCCCTCCCCTTCCTTCGGGACCAGGACCTTCCTGTGTCCCCTGTGTCGAGGGGCGCCTCAGGGCTGCTCCTCACTCCTCCCAGTTTCCCCCGACAGAGGCTCCTCTGCAGACGCTTCACATGGACGTGTGGGGCCCGGCCCCCGTCCGTGGGCAGGGTCACGAGCGCTACTTCCTGTTGGTGGTTGATGACTACTCGCGTTACACCTCAGTCTTCCCCTTGCGCAACAAGGGTGCTGTCACTGAGGTGTTGATCGACTGGATCCGCGAGGCTCGTCTCCAGCTCAGGAGGAGCTTCGGCTCGGACTTTCCTGTTCTGCGTCTGCACTCTGACCGAGGTGGGGAGTTCTCCTCTTGCCTTCTGCGAGACTACTGTCGTGCACAGGGGATCCGCCAGACCTTTACGCTTCCGGACTCTCCACAGCAAAATGGGATTGCTGAGCGCCGCATTGGCATGGTCGTGGATGTCGCTCGTACGTCCATGATGCATGCGGCTGCCCCCCATTTTCTGTGGCCGTTTGCGGTTCGGTACGCGGCGCATCAGCTCAACCTTCACCCCAGGGTCTCTCGGCCCGCGATGTCCCCAGTGTTACTGTGGACGGGGAAGGTCGGCGATGCGTCTACGTTCCGTGTCTGGGGATCTCGGGCGTTTGTCCGCGACTTGTCTGCGGACAAGCTGTCCCCCCGTGCTGCTCCCTGTGTCTTCCTTGGCTTCCCCCCTGACGCTCCAGGGTGGCAGTTCTACCACCCCTCCTCTCGTCGTGTTCTGTCCTCCCAGGACGTCACGTTCGACGAGTCAGTCCCCTTCTACCGCCTCTTCCCCTACCGTACTCCTTCCCTCCCCCCCCCACCGGACTTCCTGGTACCAGTTCCCCCCCGGTAGACCCCCTCCCCCCTCAGGTTCCTGCCCCTTCAGGTGTGTCCCAGGTAGACACGGTCGAGCCAGTCGAGGTTGCTGCTGAGTCTGGTCCTGCTGCGGGTGCTGAGCCTGGGGGTGCTGCTGCTGGGGGTGCTGAGCCTGGGGGTGCTGAGCCTGGGGGTGCGAGGCCGGGGGGTGCTGAGTCTGGGGGTGCTGAGCCGGGGGGTGCTGAGCCGGAGGGTGCTACGCCAGGAGCTGCTGAGCCTGGGGGTGCTGGGCCTGGAGGTGCGGAGCCTGCGCCTGCTGGACCTGGGGGCTCTCCGGTTCTTCCGTCTCGGCGGGAGCCGCTCTCTCCACAGGAGCTGCGCGAGTGGTTTGCTCGCCGCTGGAGGCGTGCTGCTGGAGCTGGAGCTTCTTCGCCTGCTGAGGGTGCTGCCGGTCCCGGAGCTGCTGGGCCTGCGGGTCCTACTGGAGCTGGAGCTACTGAGTCTGGGGGTGCTGAGTCTGGAGCTGCTGAGCCTGGAGGTGCTGAGTCTGGAGCTGCTGAGCTTGGGGGTGCTACGTCTGGAGCTGCTGTGCCTGGGGGTGCTGAGTCTGGAGCTGCTGAGCCTGGGGTTTCTCCTACTGCTGCATCTCGCCGGGAGCCCCTCTCTCCACAGGAGCTGCGCGAGTGGTTTGCTCGCCGCTGGAGGCGTACTGCTGGAGCTGGAGCTTCGTCGACCGTCGAGGGTGCTGGTGCTGCCGGTCCCGGAGCTGCTAGGCCTGCGGGTCCTACTGGAGCTGGAGCTGCTGAGGGTGTTGGTGCTGAGACTACTGCTGTCTGTCCTGGCGGTGGTTCTGCTGCTGGTGCTGCTGGAGGTCCTGCCGCTGGAGG